GAAACCACCTCACCCATCTCAAAAGTTGACCTTGATGGCATTGCAAGACTCTGGAAAAGGAACGCAAGGAGTGGCCAAGTTGCTGACCTCATCCATGATTGGAGGAGCCGGAGGAAACGCAGGAACGCCACCAAATCTAAGTGTAAGAAGAGCATGCTATATATATTATGGGGCATTGCCCTTTTATGCAAATTAAACCAACACTTTGCTTTGTTCATGACCAGGCAGAAGGTTCTCCATAATGCCCTTCTCCCCTGCAGAACATATTCACTTTTCCTTTGCACCCTTCCATGCCATATAGCTGCCAGGAGCTAATAAAATACTAGTTCCTTTCTGGCATAGAGAAACATGTGACTCCTTGCCAGGTTGGAGAAGCAATCAACCTTTTGTAAGCGCCAACAAGATCTTACTTATGAATTCCTTTTCTCACTCCCTTTGTCTGATTGGAGTAGCGAAGGCGCAAAAACAGGGTAACTAAAAGCTAATGGGGAGGGCGGCATAAAATCTAAACCTGTTGCTTTGCCCTGCATGGAAAAAGCAAAGGTTCACTGTAAAGCAGAACTCTGTGTATTTGGAAGATAATGCATTAATGTAGCCATAAACATACCTTGTATGCATAATCTTCCTCTTCAGTCTGTCCCATTTAAGGTCTAGTTCTTCAAAAATTGTTGGGTTCTGGTATTGGAACCCCCTGCTAAGGTGACTAGTCATCCCAGCACCTCTCTGGTCAATGGGTGACCATTTGCATCAGTGTCCCTTGCAGTCAATAAGCGCTGATGTCGGTGCTGCAGAAGTATTAAGAACCTTTGTCTAGTAATTCAGCCCTCCCCTTATCCCCGATCCTTGTCTTCCCCATTTCCCAGTCCTGCAAAAGGCAATGAAAATATATCAGAGAGAGGAGAAGGGACAAGAAATACTGACCGGGATGGGAGAGCACAGGGGGGTGGGGGGAGGGAGATTGATTTCATCGAAAGGGAGATTTTACAAATCCATATCTGTGCTTAGAATTTCTAACTGTGCACTAGATCTGCTCTCATTTGTTTAACCTCCCTAGCGGTCTGATTATTTATTTTCAGGTACTTGCATAGCGCCGTCAATTTACGCAGCGCTTTACATATATAGTGTACATTCACATCAGTCCCTAACCCTCAAGGGGTATACAATCTAAGGTCCCTAACCCTCAAGGGGTGTACAATCTAAGGTCCCTAACCCTCATGGGGTGTACAATCTAAGGTCCCTAACCCTCATGGGACGTACAATCTAAGGTCCCTAACCCAATCTAAGGTCCCTAACCCTCAAGGGGTGTACAATCTAAGGTCCCTAACCCTCAAGGGGTGTACAATCTAAGGTCCCTAACTCACATTCATACATACACATACTAGGGACAATTTAGACCGGATCCAATTAACCTACCAGCATGTCTTTGGAGTGTGGGAGGAAAACCGGAGTACCCGGAGGAAACCCACGCAGTCACAGGGAGAACATGCAAACTCCAGGCAGGTGGTGCCAGGGTTGGGATTTGAACCAGCAACCCCTAGTACTGCCAGGTGGAAGTGCTAACCATTTAGCCATTGTGCTGCCCATGTCAGTATTTCTGTGCTCAGAGCGGTACATTTTTTTTGCTTGGAAATATGTAATTTTTTTTTATTGTAGGCCTGTAATTTTTAGGAATAACGCACTGAAATCTGTTCGAACAAGAGTCTAGTAAACATCCCGGGTATGTTAAAATTTGAAACACGAAATCATAAATTATAATATAATAAATAATCATAAAAAATAATATAATAATAAAAAATTTAATTCAATAATATAATCAAACCAAAAACACTGAAATGTGAAATATAGCGCCAAGTTCGCACATCACTGAGCAAAGTCGCAGAATCGTTTTCAGTGTCTGATGACGAATTTCCCCCACGAATCATTATCACTCAATTCTGCAAGTGGTTCTGATTTACTATCGCTGTTCTCTAGCCGGTCTAAAACCGCTTTTCACCTAAAGGGACACTTTTTGGACGCCATGGACGTTTCTCAGTTTCCAGGCAGAAAGAACAGTAAAAATGCAGGCAGGGCGCCGGACAAAGCACTCGGGACAATATGTATGTGAAATGGTTTGATACAGGAATGTTTTACTACTGATTTTAGTGTATTTAGTGAATGTCACTGTTTCACTTTTTTAAATTTCCCGCCATTCTGTCCCCGTACGTCCTGACGCTCGCAGGGAACGGAACCCGGAATACGGATGCCAGCACTGGCCAGAGGACATTACAGGGGACACTGCAGGGGGGACATCGCGGGAGCGCAGGACAAAGTAAGTGAAGAAGAGATCCTGGAGCAACGCTTCAGTGTATTCCTGAGTGTAGCTCGGGGTTACCGCATGTGGGGATGAAACTTTACCCCGAGCTACACTCGGGAATACCGCCAGGGGGGTTAAGTACGATGAAACCAGAGATCAGTCCTTCTACTGTGCTAGAGCTGCTCTCAGTATAATGCATGGCTGTTCTAAAACACGGCTTCTATGTGCCTTATCTGTGTGAAGGTTTATCCTGGGCTGAAGACAGAATTTCCTCCAGCGACTCCTCTCTGATACAGCTTGTCAAACTTCTGAAATAAGTGGCTGGAGGAGTTTTGTCTGCATCCCAGGATCACCCTCACATAGACACCGTGCATTATATTGGGAGTGTTTCCAGCACAGAAGAACTGCTCTCACCTTTCAGATGCTATCCAGTATTCCTATGGTATACATGCAGTGGAGTGAGGGATGCAGGAGATTTCTCTGCTCCTCTCATTGCCCACAGCACCTCCTCCATTCTCAAGAGCCTGCCGGTGGACTTTGTGAATTTAAAAGGATGAGAGCACCACAAAAATGAAATGAGTCAAGTAAGAAATTATTTTTCATTTCACGGGCTCAAAACTTTTACACCAGGGCTAGGGAAGTGGGAGCTTTGAGTCCCTGAAACATGTTGGTTCTTTTGGCTTCTTGTTGTAAAAATAAGTTCTTACTGGAGTCATTCATTTTACTAGATTTATGACAGGCAAGACCATATTGGTGTCTTTTGTCATAACTGCTTCTTCTGCCAGACAATGTTAATGTACCCTGAGCTTCGCATACCCACAGCTCAGCTTACATTTACGGTGCTGCAAGGATTTGGCGTCTGTGCACACGTGATGAGTGACGTCTTTGCGGCCTGGCCATTTACGCTCATAAACAGTCCAACCCAGAAGGAAGACCGGGAGATGGTAGAAGTGCCCGTGACTAGCGGGAACGTTGACAGTGCAGAGCTGGAGGGGATTGCTTGCTAGGTTAGTCTGCCCTAATGGGCTGTACATACTAACACATTATGGCTAAATGGGGTCCAAAAAATTAAAAAAAATTGTGGCAATTCGTTCTAGATTAACACTCTTGGGGGTCAAGCGCATCAGAGGTTGAAGGTAAGAAAATAGCTTGATTCCCCCATCAACACAGACCCTGTTCATGAGGAAATCCCTCCCGCTGCGCAATTGAATTCTGACAGTGGGAGGTTTCCCAACCATCCAAATACAATGATTACGGCCGCCAGCTGCAGTAATCACATGAAAAAACCCCACCAACAGATTGACTTCAGTACAACCAGCCTGACCACAGATGGATTGAAGTTTTGGCTGGTTCCTGATGAAGCATAGATAGATATGGATAGATAGATTAACCTACCAGCATGTCTTTGGAGTGTGGGAGTACCCAGAGGAAACCCACACAGGGAGAACATGCAAACTCCAGGCAGGTGGTGCCGTGGTTGGGATTCGAACCAACGACCCTAATACTGCCAGGTGGAAGTGCTAACCATTTAGCCACTGTGCTGCCCCCATTGAAACATGACAATTCCTAAATACACCAAAACCTTGATAACTGGCAGAACCCAATTCACCCTTCCAATCTTGTCCTTCCTAACGTTTTTGATTTATGAATTCATAATGTGCTCTGAATCATTTATACACTGTCATAGATCTTTTTTTTTTTTTTTTGTTTTTGTTTTCTATTCAGCAGCCGACAAAGTGCAATACCGTCTCCGGACTCATTACCCAGTCCTCTTCCCCATCACTAACTGTACTGACTCCAACTTACAAGCCAAATGGAGGAAAAATGCCAACACCCACCGCCTTGGGCCTCATACCCACCATCCACCCTTTCCCGCTACATGTCATTTACACCTCAGACACAGTCCAAAAATCCTCAAAAGATGCCATAGTCACTGGTCCAGCTCCAGGCACTTTTACCCATGGACTTGCACGAAGTAAGTAGTCTCATCCAGATTTTTAATTTGTTTCCCTGATGGCTCTGCATGGTGTTTTTTTTTTTTCCTTGAGGTAGAAGTCTACCTGATATTGAAAATACAGTCAGTAGGAACTGTTCCACTAAATATCCCAAGCTCTTTATTGAAGTAGAATTAAATCCTTCGTATTCAGATCATAAGAAAAAAAAAAAGTAACCTCTTCAACTTGGATCCCGAGTGAATGGATAGATAGGTGGGTCCTCCTATTCCATAGTTTTGATAATTCTAAAGGAAATTGTACAGAGACTGTATAGTGTATGTCCACCTTTATAGACCCAAAATAAACTAGTTGCGCTTTCAGTGACATTAATGGCATCCGAAATGCGGAAGAAAATACACATTTTGCAGTGTGAAAAAGAATGTCCAATCTGGCAGGCCCTTGAACTACATCAAGGGTGCCCAACCCCCAGAATGTTTAGCATGTGCTCCAGGCTTATCTGGAGGGATGCTGGGGATGCCCTGCAAACATAGCAGCTGTGACAGCCTACATTGACAAGTCAGGCAAATGCATGCCTGGAGGGATGCTGGGGAAGCCATGCAAACATAGTTGCAGGGTGTGTATGCTAATGACGTCAGCTGGTGAAGTGCTTCCTGTGTCTTACTGGTTTTCGCGTCCCAAATCTGCATACCAGGAAATCATGAAGTTTTCTATGGAACACAGGGCTATGGTAAGGCCTTGTACTAAAAATCAAAGAAAGCTTTTATATTTCTGCAATAGAGGTACATTATTGGTATGTTGGTAAATAGGGGAGCTAGGTTGTATTAACCACTTCCTGTCCGGACACTTTTACCCCCTTCCTGTCCAGGGCAATTTTCAGCTTTCAGCGCTATTACACTTTGAATGACAATTGCGCGGGTCGTGCAATACTGTACCCATATGAATTTTTTACCATTTTTTTGAGACAGATAAAGCTTTATTTTGGTGGTATTTATTCACCGCTGGGATTTTTATTTTTTTTGCTATGTAAATGAAAACGTCCAAAAATTTTGAAAAAAAGTGGGGTTTTTTTTTAATAAAAATTTTGCAAATAAATATTTCATCATAAATCTTGACCAAAATGTATTCCGTTATTTTTTTAGTAAAAATCCAAATTAGTGTATAACCAAAAATTATAATTTTTAAACATTTTTTTTTTACATTTTTATTTTTTTTTTTTTTTATTTTTTTTTTTTTTTTTTTTTTTTTACATACTGTACTACTTGTGGGGGGTGATGAAGATTATTATTATTTTTTTTTTTTTTTTTACACTGATTGCTTTTACACCCATATAGGATGTAAAAGCAATCATTTCTCTTTCTCTCTGTCTGCATTCTGCAGTCATTGAGAAGTACTGAGTGAGCTGTGATTGGTCAGAGCTTGTCACATGGTACAAGGCTGTTGTGAATAGCCTTGTACCATGTGACCTCTGATCATTCACAGATTTCACACGTAGTCAGCAATGCTGTCACAAGTGACATCTTGCTTACTACTCTTCATGTGATCACTGATTGGCCAATCAGTGATCACATGATCGGGACCTCGTACAGAGGTCCCGTCTGCCGATTGGTGTTTCACTGTGTGTGGAGGACACAGCAGGCACCGGATCGCGGTGCTGCGCGCTCCCAGGGAGCGCGCACAGCTAGAAAAGGCAGGTGCCGTTTATAAACAGCAGGCGGACGGCAAGTGGTTAAAAGAAAAAAAAAAAGTGAACTTAGCCTTTAAAAAGATTATCAGCTGAAATGGAGCAAGCTTGTTTAGGTCTAGGGGACTTGTTAAAGTAGATTTACTGATCCTCTGCCTTCTACAATGGTCCTTGCAGCAGCTTCTTTCCTAAGTTCCAGCAGTCTTAGATTCTGACGTCATCAAGACCAAAGTAGGGTCCATAGCCCTGCATCGGATGTGATGACGCCAGGAGGCAGTCCACTGCTGCAACGTGGGGGAGTACCACTGCTAGGATCTGGTAAATAAAAGCATTTTATTTTCCCCTAGACCAGGGGTCTCCAAACTTTTCAAACAAAGGGCCAATTTATGGTCCTTCAGACTTTGAGGGCCAGAGTGTGGCCGGTGGGGGTATAAATGTTTCAGGCCCAGCATCAGTAAGAATAAACACGGCCTCAGGGATGGTGGTCAGTTGGAGGAAGAGTAGTACCCCATCATTGGTATTCATAGGAGGAATAGTGCCCCATAAGTGGAAGAAATAGTGCCCCTTTGTTGTCAGTGCCCCAAGGGCCGGATATAGGGTAGCAAAGGGCCACATCCGGCCCTCAGGCTGCAGTTTGGAGACCTCTGTCATAGACTAAGCAAGAAATTGACTCTTGCAGTGCAGGCGCGCGCAGCCCCACTGCAATGGATCATTTTCAAGTTTCCCGAAGTTGGACTTGAAAGCTTTCTATTATCCAATTCTAATAAAATTTTAGCACAAATGGTCTCTTTACAGCCTGCTCACCGCTGCTGGCTCCAGGTCACACAGGTGGGCTTCCCTGAACTTCCTTGTAGCTTGAGTGCATGCCCTAAGTGTTTTACTTGCACAGTGCACTACGGACAGTGCGGGCTCAAGAAAGGAGGGGAGTGGCTTGCCATCTGGGGTGTTTTCCGTGGAGGCATGAGACTTGCGCTGAGGGGGGGGAGCGCATGCAAGCTGATTTCATGGGTCCCTGTAACAAGATGGAGCCACTTGATAGCAGGAGATTTTTTAGGAAGATGTGAAGTAGCCACCGACTTGCATAGAAAAATCACACGGCAAGCTGGGTAAGCGCTGAGGTCTGCAGCAATATATTGTTTTTGCAGGTTGAAGTTAAATGCCTCTTTAATCCCTTAATGTCCAACATGTGCAGCAGCAAAAGGGTGGGCTTTGCTGTCCACGTGCCGCACATATACTGTACGTCGCTGGGCGGCCGATGTTTCTGCGCAGTGTGCGCAATCACAGTCCAAGGACCAAGCTGTAAAAGACACCTCTTGGTCCCCAGTAATGATTGGTAGCCGGTCCCGGTCATAATGCAACTGGGACCGGCTTACAATCCCGGTGGTCATGTTATCGACCAATCCTTAAAATGGCTCCATTGTCCATCTCAAAGCAAGTAAAGCCTGACAAGGAGGATATATAAAATCCTAAAAAAAAAACACAAAATGTTTAGGGTCATGCCTAAGTCCAGTGGTGACTGGTACTGGACCCGGCCCCCAAGTCAGATATGCTCCACCTCTTTTGCAAGGTTATGTGGGCAATTATGTATGCAAACGATAGGCCGTCCATACATGGGTCAGTTTTTTTTTTTTTTTTTTTCAGCCAGCGGGTTGAATGAAAAAAATGACCCGGTTCTTCCATCCACCTTGAATCCTCCCCACTGTGCTATTGTATTCTAACAGCGGGGAGGTTTCCTGCGTCATTGGAATACACTGATCAGCGCTGCAACCTATTGCCTGCAGCACGGATCAATCAAAAATATACCAGTGGCCTTGCATGGATCGAAATTCAGCCAGTCCCTTTTGAACTGGCTGAATTTCAATCCATGCATGGGCAGCTTTACCGGTGGAAACTGTTCATTTGTTTTGTTTCGGGTGTAAGATATACTTATTGTCTTCTCTCCCCCTAGATCTCCTGGGTGGCCTTCATCCGGCTGCTTCAATTCCACACCCAGCTCTGTCCGGACATTCACAGCCAGCACAGACAGGTAACACACTCTTCACTTCAACAGTCATGCCGCAGCGTGTTCCCTCTCTGGCCTGTTGACGTTTTTTAAGGGCCTGTTCCATCATAGGCACCACTACTACATTTCATCTTTAACCCTAAAGCTGGGTACACCCACTAAGATTTTGTTGTTTTTTTTTTTTTTTTTGTTTTTTTGAAAAACAAAAAAAAAAAAGAAAAAAAAAAAAAAAAGAGGAAAAAAAAAAAAGAAAACAAAAAAAAAAAAAAAAAGAAAAAAAAAAAAAAACAAAAAAAAAAAAAAAAAAAAAAAAAAAAAAAAAAAAAAAAAATTTTTTTTTTTTTTGTTCAACCCAGCAGATTGAATGAAAAAAAAAAAAAAAAAAAATGACAGATCACCGGACCAACACAAGCATCTTAAACAAAAAAAGTTTTGCCTTTTATTTACACTTTAATGTCATTAAAGTGATTTGTAAACTTAGATTTTTTTTTTTTAAACTACAAACCTATTATATTTACCTACTCTGTGTAATAGTTTTGCACAGAGGAGCCCCAATCCTCCTCTTTTCAAGTCCCCCACTGGCACTCCTAGCTCCGCCAATTTGTACAAACTCACTCCTGTGATGGCTTTGTGTGTCTATAGACACAGAGCGCTGCTCGGCCCGCCATACCCCATGTTCCCTCCTCACTTGCTGTGATTGACAGCAGCAGGAGCCAATGGCTCCCATTGCTGTCTCTGAGCCTATTAGGAGAGAGAAGAGTCTCTGCTCTCGTGGACAGCGCAGGATTGAGATCGGGCCCAGGTAAGTATAAGGGTAGGGGCATGGGGGAAGCTGCCCTCTGGTTTTTTTTGGTTTGTTTTTTGTTTTTTTTTTTTACTTCACGCCTAAGGGTAAAACAAATCTAAATGCCTAAGCACAATTTTGCAACATTGACATGTGTTAGTAAAACTGTACATATCATCACAACTACTTTGTACATCCAGGTGGATTATACCTTGATTTTTTTCAGGAGAAATTGGGCTTTCATTTGGTGGTAAATGGTAATGGATAGCTCCTAATTTTTTTTTTTTTTTAGTATCAAAGGAAAACTGGCCCAAAATAGTAAAAAAAAATAGTTTTTTTTTTAACTTAGCTGTGTGTTACGACCATAACCTACCTCCATAGAACAACCCAAAATAAATTTTACAGCTCTTGACGATCGCAGAGATACCATATATGTGTATGTTATTTGTTGTTTGTACCCGAAGTACAGCCCAGAAACAATAGTGCGCATGTTTTTTTGTTTGTTTTTTAACCTAAAACACACTGACATTAACATTAACTAATACCAATTTTTTTTTTTTCCTGACCTTTGACCCTTTACCTTTGACCCAAACACTAACCCTGGCACTGAACTAGATCAAACCTTGATCTAGGTATTTTTCTTTTTTTTTTTAATATTTTATTTATTTATCTTTTTTTTTTTTTTTTTTTTTACAAAATTTTTTTTATCTCTCTATGTCAGGAGTTAGAGAGATACAACGTATCTCTCTTCTCCATTCATAGAGAGAGAAAAAAAACAAGGGGGCCAGGCTGTATAGTGACTGATCACTGTGACCGATCACAGCGATCACATGACCCGGAATCGGGAGTCCCGGGTCCCGATCGTTAGAACGGGACCTGGGGCTCTCATTGACACCGCGGTCTCTGTGCTGGGAGCGCGCAGAGCGGCGTACTCCCAGCACAAAGACAGGTACGCAAATATGTGGCCCCACGGAAAAAAGCCCAGTTCTGTGAGGCCGCATATTTGTGTGCTGTTCGGCATCAAGGGGTTAATGCAGGGAATGCATTAGGGCAAGAAAAAAACCTTCATCCTCTAAAACGATTTTACATTTTCTGTAATTCTGCTTAAATCAAATCCGTTCCCCTTTGTTTTTACTTTTCAGTGTGTTCCTGTCTTTTTCTGTCTTACAGATGGTGCTCATGCAAAGACTCCAGTCCCCCCTCCAAGGAAGCTTTAATTTTTTGGACCAAATACAGCGACACAATCTTAGGGACAATGTCTGTGCACTACTTTAAAAACGTTTGATGCTTTTCTCAGCATTTCCTACACAAGCACTTATTTTCTATGTGACCGCAGAGAGGCGTCAAATTTTATATTTGTGGAACTGACCAGGGGAGGAAAAACCTCTTTATTCTTTCCTTACCTTCATTTTTTTCAGTTGTATTGGACAAGACCATCCTTCTTGCAGCTCCTTACCGTGCCCAGTGGATTTTAAACAAATAAAGTAAAGGTTTTCTCAACCAGGGACTATTTCAGTTTTGGTTGTACAGTGGTGAGTTGATTCCCCTGTCTTCTTCTTGAATAATCTAGACTGAAGACTAGAAGATTTTTTTTTTGCTGTTGTTTCTCCTCCCCTTCTTTCACCCTCTTCAGCCCCCTAATCATTTTTATGAAGAGTACATACGAGGAATGAAATACTGCTCTTTGCTTTTCTTTGGGTTGAACCTGAGAAATCTCACCACTCTGGAAAGCCCGGAAGATGCAAGAAGCAGCTCTGTGATTTAGTTCCTCACAGCCTTGCTAAACTGAACTATTAGCAGGTAGAGCGGACCTTTTGAAGTATATGTCCAACCAAAACTTCTTTATGGGTAGTGTGAGGAGGTTTTTCCTGCTATGTGGGGCTCCGTTGGAAACCGTTTCCCTCATTGTCATAGTGACAACAATTTCACCAGACAGGTCAGCAAAAAAAAAATCTTTAAAGTGATTGTTCCATTTTTTTTTTTTTGTAAATTAAAATACCTGCTCTGTGTAATTGTTTTGCACAGAGCAGCCCCGATCCTCCTCTTCTTAGGTCCCCCACCGGCGCTCCTGGCCCCTCTCCCCTGCCATGTGCTTCCATAGAAAGCCGCTTGATATGGGGGCACTCGTGCAGGCTCACTCCCAAGCCTCCTTCTCTGTTGACACAGACAGCAGAGCTCGCCCCCACTCCCTCGTCATAGGAATTGATTGACAGGAGCGTGAACCAATGGCTCCTGCGGCTATCAGTCTGCCCAGTGAGGAGAGACCGAGCCACTACTCTCGAGCACATTGCTGTATTGAGATTGGGCTCAGGTAAGCATAAGCGGGGGCTCCTCTGCAACAGAAGGTCTTTTTACCGTAACAAATAGAATTCATTAAGGTGAAAAACCTTAAAGTGGTTGTAAAGGCTTAAGGTTTTTAATCTTCATGAATTCTGTGCATGAAAGTAAAATACCTTCTTTCTGCAGCAATGCCATTAGCCCCGGCTGCTGTCAATCACAGCCACTGAGAGGGCGGGGCGAGCAGTGCTCCGTGTGTGAATGAACACACATAGCAGCAGCTCGGGAGCGTGTCTGCTCGGGTGCCTCCCATAGCAAGCTGCTTGTTCTGGGGGCACTAGGCAGGAGGGAGGGCTGCAGATCACAAAGCATGACATGTTTGTTATTTATTATCACTTTAAGGCTTTAGGACCACTTTTATCTGCAACACAGATAACAATCCAAATGTTTATATTGGAAGAATAGGGGAATGCTAGAATCCCTGTCAGATTTATATGCTATATAGATGCGGGAGTAGTAGGAGCTCTTATTTCATAATTGCTCGTCTTATAAAGCTAACGCATTTCAGAGTGCCCCCCTTCTTTTGGGCTTAAAAAAAGAGAAACAATCATGTATATGGCAAAATAAAATCACGTTTTGGAAATATGAAACCGTCCCTGTTGGCATTGCTTTTTTTAATTAAAAAAAAAAATAATTAATATATATATTGATTTTTATATATATATATATATATATATATATATATAAATAATAAATACAATTTTTTTTTTTTTTTTAAGCCTGCATGAAGAGGGCACTAAGAAGCCCCCTGATATGTGTTGACTATATATGGTGATATGAGCTTTTAATATGGAATAAATACCCTTTTGGACACTAATAATAATGTGGCATTCCTACATCTGATTATGCAGGCCATACATGGTTTGAATTTCGAACGATTTTTTGCTCGAAAATCGAAAACGTCGTTCGCTTGGTAATCCGATGGTGCCATCAATGATTTCGACCAAGTCATAAAGTTCACCCCATATAACAGGTGAAGTTCTGTTTCTTCCAGGTCGCGGCTCATGCGGAAAAAACGATCGTACGATTTGACCCTCATTAAGTCGAAAATCGGTTGTTTGTCACAAATTTTCCAACATGCCCAATCACCGAACAGGGGAGGTGCCATTGACCCCCTAACAGAGCCAAAATCGGCAGATTATTCTTGGGTCCAATTTTCGGATGAAAACTCGGTCGAATTTCGACCCATGTATGGCCGGACTTAGTCTTTGTGTTGAAGCTCTCCAGATCCCTTCTGTGCATGTCACTTACCTGGAATTATCACACCCCTTACCTTCAGTTTTTATTCTATCTCGTGGGATTAGGCTTCTTCTGAAGTCCAGAGCCATCCACCTACCCCCCCTCAACTTTTTTTTATTGCTATATTTGTTCCTGTTGAAAAATTTTCTATCATTTCCTGCCTGGTCAAACTTTTGGACAGTAAATGGGGGTAAATCCCTCCAACTGTGCCCCAGATAGCAGTAGAAACCTAAAGGACTTCTATTCCTTCCCTACTCTAGCATTCTAACTCACCTGAAGCATTTTTGTGTGTCGTCTTTCGTGTTGTGCCCATACAATACCTTCAAACGTAAACCTCGCACCAGCGTTTCTAAATGTAATACTTAATATGTCCTTTTTTTTTTATTTTTTATTTCTTGTGAAGTCTTTGGCCAGTAAGGACCTAATTTTGAAGCACGGAAAACATATCTTAAAAGAAAGAAACGAACTTGTGTTACCACCACCAATTCAGACTGTCATGCAGACTGTCGGTTTTTGGAATACCAATTGACTTTCTTTTTTGCTCTTTATTTTGACTCTTGGGCGATAAGGATTTTCTGACACGGACATGTTTCGTCAATTTTGTCGATTTATCGATCTTGACATTTCTACTTGAAAGACTATTTATTAGAAGGCCTCCCTTCGCCATTGTACATAAGAAAAAAAAAAAAAAAAAACATAAGCTTGAAGAAAATTCCATTTTTAATTCAAGGGAAAGTTGTTGGACCTTGGTGACTGGTCAAAAGATTCCGGGGAAAAAGAACTAAGAAAAAAAGTCTTCCATGTCATGACAATCCAAAGAAACTGATGTTTCTTTTTTCTTTGTTTATGGCATTTAAAGTGGAACAATGGGCACCAATCAGAAATGGCGTATGGTATAGTCTGTCATTGACACAGCAGTTTTTGTTTTCATGAATCCTATCTGTTACAGGTGATTAAGGAAAACAAAAACTGCTGTGTAATTTTAGTGACAGACTACATTATATGCTGTGTTTTTTGGCGTTTTTTTTTGGCAATAGTTCCATTTTAAGGACATCCAGATGCCAAATTATTTTGGCTCCCTTCTATGCTACATTATGGATCTTCGGTGGACATGCACTGGATAGAGTTGTATTCGCCAAAAGACGAAGTCTTCATTTTTACATGGCAACATTTGCAAAAAGTCTACTTTGCCCCAGCCTATGAATCTTGTATTTTAACACACAAAGACGTACTGTACTATTATTAGGTACCTCCGGAGTCCCTAACCGGAAAATTATGGCATTTCGGACCTCTAGAACGAATTTCCGTGATTATGGTCCGTAGTAATATCCAGGTCTCTGGTAGATCTGGAGATGCAGCTTTTCAAACTTTCATATTTAAAGAATTTTGTAGGTAAAAAAAAAAAAAAAAACACATGGTTTGTGGATGCTTTGGACTTGCTTCTTTAGCTATTGATTGTTGTGCTTGGCAAAAAAAAAATGGCTGCTGCTTTGCTCTGTAAAGAGTGTGACGCCTGAATATTTCGATCAGTGTGTGCGTGTGCTGACATGATTGAGTATTTGTAGATCTGCGTAGTTTTATGGCAAATGCTGGTTTATTATATTTTTTGTGACCTCTGGGGAGCATGCCAATGTTTGTTTTTTTTGGTTTTTGTGTTTTTTTTTTGTTTTTGTTCTTTTTTGTGGTTTTTTTTTTTGTTTGTTTTTTTTGGTTTTTTCTCTAATATGGCACTCTCTGCTTTTGGATGATTTGTACAAGGCCCTGTTTAACTGATAGGGTCTCTTAAAGCCCTGACCCTGTTGTACGCCTCTTCACATTGCTCGCACACTCCTTAGACCAGGGGTAGGCAACCTGTGGCTCTCTAGCTGTTGTGGAACTACATTTCCCATGAGGCATTGCAACATTACAAAACTGACAGTTACAGCTATAACTTGCAGAGGCGTGATGGAACTTGTAGTCCTGCAACAGCTGGAGAGCTGCAGGTTGCCTACCCCTGCCTTAGACCTTTATAACCACCACCCAATGGCTAGTGCTTGCAGTTGTGGGGAAGCTTTGTGACCTTCAACCATGATACGCTGCTTGAGCCCAGAGGTTGGTTGCCAGGTCAAAACAGTCACATGACGGGGATAGGGGGGGGGGGGGGGGGGGGTAGGTAGTGTCACTACTCCCTGTAAGCACTAATACTTATTATTTTGGGGCGGCAGGGGAATTCTGTGGAAAGGAGTATAACCAGGGTCAGGGGTGGGTTTTAATTTTCTCTTTAAAGGGACACTCCATGAAAATGTTGCCTATAATCGAAACTGTCAGATGAGAAACCCATGGTTTGCCCTAGCTGACCTCTTTCTGAAAATACTAGTTGCCTGGCTGACCTTGGCTTTAGTACTTTTGTTATGGAGCACAAATGCTGCCAATGACGTCAGAAATCCTGATCTGCACATTTGCAGAGTATAGCCGCAAGGTGGCTGTCACTTCAAGCAGGCGGCTGTCACTTCAAGCAGGCGGCTGTCACTTCAAGCAGGTGGCTGCCTATATATTTTTCATGACGGGTTTCTTTTTAAACTGAGGCGGAACACCACTTACCTGACCAATGGCACAAATCTTTATGCTGGCTACCCAATGCATGCTGACAGCTTTACTCCAGAAGACTGCCATCTGTGTATTCATAGTACAGAATCATGGGACAGGAAGCTGGAGTGTCATTTAGAAATT